CGCCACGCCACGCCACGCCACGCCACGCCACGCCACGCCACGCCACGCCACGCACCAGCAGCTTACTGCAATGTCTGCACAGAACTCCACAACCCTAAGGGAAACCCATGCCTGGAATACAAGTGTAACGCTGTAGGGGGCAGGCGGGGGGGGGCAGAAAAGAAATCTCTGTGGTTCTTAGACTAATACACGTGGACGGACAACACCCAAACCAAAGTCTGCGTGGTGCTCAGAGCCCTTCCGTGTGGTTTTCTAGGTTGCTAGGAAACCCGCAGACTCGAGTGTCCCAACTCCGTATTCTCTCGGTACGGAGGCTCGAGACGCGGCTTCCTAGATACAGGCAAGACCCTGCAGAGGGAGAACGATAGAAAAAGAGAATAGAAAAGAGCTTTCAGTGAGCTATCGCGCTGGGGAAAGGTGCTAGGAAGCCCCTCCGACATCCAGCGCCCGTTCTCGCCACGTCTTCTCTGCCGAGGCCTCCGACAGAGGGGACTCGCACCAGGGGAGGGGCTCCGCCGGGGGCCCCGCCACACAGCAATCCCAGCCCATTTCACACCACGGCTTGCGCCCTTTGCGTTTATTCGTAAGGGAGGAGCCAGGAGCAGAGGCCACACACACTCCACTGCGGTCACGCTGGGTCTGAAGGAGATGGGTCTCTGGGTACCCCCACGCAGGGTTCCGTGCGGGGAAAGAGCGTGGTGGCAACGCTGGCCCGGGGGCCGGCCACTAGCAGCTACAGAACCAAGCCTTCCAGGCACTTCTCCGGGCTCAGTGTGCCTTCTTGCCCAGTCTCTTAAAGACACTCACCGTGCCTGTATTGTCCATCTGCGCGCTATGGATCTCACTGGTGCTGCTTACCTTGGCGCTACCCAAAGTCCGCTTTATTGTGACCCTGAACTTCGGCTCCGCTTTGCTCTTGGTGCTGGTGACGCTGCTGTCCTGGGCCCCGGGGGGCGGGGGGGGCTTGCCCAGTCTCTGTGCCACGCTGACCTGCTTCTCCTTCGCCGCCAGGGCGGCGCTCTTGTTGCCCAGCCGCCGAATGGTCGTCACAGCTGGCTTTGCCTCCGAGCTGGTGGCCTTGGCTTTGACGGTTACTCCTGGCTTGGCGCTTTCCTTGTGGGACGGCTTGGAGAGCTTCTTCAGGACCCCGGCGTACTGCAGGACGGAGGAGGAGTCGTCGCTCTCGGTGCCTTTGTCCTCGTCGGCCTCCAGAGCATCCCCCAGGCGGCTGAAGACCCCTGTAGGCTGCGAGGACCCACAGGCATTAGTGTCCCGCCCACAGATTGTCCGTGGCAGGGCAGGGTGGCCTAATGGACGGAGCACAGGACTGGGACAGCTTCTGTTCCCAGCTCTGCTACCTGCCCCGCTGGGAGACCTGGGACAAGTCCCTGTGCTGCTTCGGGCCTCCGTTTCCCCAGCTGTAATGGGGGAAGTTACATAGCACTTGGCGACGCACTGAGAACAAGGGATTATTCTCCTACGATGGCTCAGGGGCTGTACCATACCCTTCCGCGTCGCTGGAGAGAGGCCTGCATTTCCTGGGGGATTAACAAGCTCATAACGACCCTGCTCTTATGCGGCACCTTCCGTCGTCCGCTCTCAGCGCACAAGCAGCACCGACTGCGGAAGCTGAGGCGTGGAGCGGCGTGACTCGCCCACGGTCCCCCCCGAGGGCAGCAGAGCGCTGGGAACGGACCCCAGGTCTCTGCGCTCCCCGCCCAGCACTGCCTCGCTGTTCCAGGCGCGTCTCAGGTCTGTATGTGAATGGGCGGGTAGTCCTCCCCTCCCCGACCAGGCAGAGCAACATCAGGGCAAATGTCCCCCTCCCCACCTCCACCACCAGGGACCTTCTTGTCAGTGGCCAGGAAGCTGGGTGCTTGCAGCCCCAGCTCTCTCTCACACGCCAGTCCTGTCCCACGGCCACAGAACCCCCCTCCGCTCTCACCTTATTTCCGGTGGTCGTGCACACCTAGCCGCAGCAAAGACCAGAGAAGTGCTTTCAGGCTTCCACAGGAGAGGAAACTGGGGGAGGGCTTCCATAGCCATGAGGAGAACCCCATAGGAGGGGGGCAGGAAACGGCCCCCTCGCCTCCACGAACACCCCCTCAGACCCTGCGGCAGAGCCCTCCTCGGGCGCGGCATCACGGCCCGCCGGCATCCGACGGGGAATACGTGACGTGCCTCTACCACTCCACCTTCCGAGTGCTTGCGAGGAGCCGTAAAGCTTTCGCACGCCCCCGGCGCGCCTGGCAGGTCGCTGCCGCCTCAGAGGAGGAGTGCAGCGGCCAGGGTCCAGCACGCGGCTCGACACCGTGGCAGAGGGGCACGCTGGGCAGGATTCTCACAGAAACCAGCCAGGCGTGCGCCGAGCCACGCGCAGGACCCGAGGGTGCGTGACCTCCTTGGAAGTCCCACTTACGCTCTGGCCTTGTCTGCACTAACAGCTGCCCTGCTGTAACTGCGCCAATACCACTGAATTTGCACCTGCCACCTCCGCACCCAGATGTCTTCACCCCGTGCAGCTACGTGGGGAGGGGCATCAGCTCAGGCAGTCCCCAAGAAAGGCGCCACACTGCTAACAGTATCACGCCCACAGGCACCCACTGCATGGCTGGGTCAGGCCACGTGCGCAGGCCCCTCGTGCGCCAGTATCACAGGGCTGGCTCGGGACTGCCAGTCCCACGTGCTCAGCGAGCGGGGGTGGACAAGGAAGTCTCGTCCGCCTGCTTTGACAGCGCGGCTCTGCTGCCACGTCACGGTGCAGGCAGTGCTGCTGTGCTAGGGGCAGTCCCGGGATAGCAGGGAGATGGGGAGAGCGAAGGGGGGACTAGCTTGTACCGGACCAAGACCTGTTGGTGAGACCCGTGCTGGAGCCGCACAGAGCTGGGAAGCGACCCGGTAGATCCGGGGTGGGACAGATGGTTTCGCTTCCGTCGTCAGCCCCGCTTGTGAGACCGAGCTCAACGCTTGCCTTTGCCGGGACACTGCGCGTTCCTCTCCCAGGCCCGCAGAGGGGCTCCATGGTGCGGCGCCAGCGCGGGTCTGTCCCCCGCGCGAGCTGTTCAGTGACAGGCAGGACCACCCCTGGTGTGTCTCTTGGTGCCGGATCCGGGGACGACAGCGTGCCGTGGATCCGGGGACCACGCAGACACATGCTGCCCGGGGGCTACAAACCCGCCAGTGGTACCTTTGGCCGCCTGCTGTTCCAGGATTTTCTTAGTCCTCGGCGTGGTACCTTTTGGCATGTTGATGATGTACTTCCCTTCCATCTCGGCCGTGACTCGCCGCCGCTTCGCCGGGACCTCCACGCTCTCGGCCGCCGCGTCGCACAGAGCTGGGAAAAGAGACCAGTCAGCGAACTAGCCAACGGGGGTTCCTTCCACAGGCGGAGCTGCAGGGTGGGGGGGCTCTGTGAGGTCCTGGAGCTTAGTCCGGGAGGGGGGGGAAGAGGCTCACGCTGCCCCCTTTCCCCAGGCCAATCTCTCAGATCCTATTGGCGGGTTGTTTCCGGCCAACAGGAGCTGAGGACTGGGCTGCAGACGGGGAGATCACACGAAGCCTCTCCCTCCCTCGAGAGGGAAAAGACACAGAGAGCGGCCCTGCATTTAAAACAGCAGCTGCTGCATGTCTGAGGGTCCCAGCAGGGTGGTCCGTGGGCCGGATCTGGTGGCTTGGCAGGCTGAATCCAGCCCTCCAGAGGCATGTTATCCACCCCTGTACTAGAGGGCAGCCTCTCTAGTCTAGGCGAGATCTGAACAGGTGACCCGGAAGCGGGAGGATATGCACATAAGGCAATCTTGAGATCTGGTCGCAAACTGTTTCGAGCAGTCGTTTGCGTTTGCACAGCCTCTTACAGCCAAACAGCCTCCAAAAGGCGTCACAAAACGCACTAAGTGATCACACCACCAGACCGAAATCACCTCACGGCCCACGGAAATGCAGCCAGCTCTGGGTACATGAGCACAGCGGCTGGTAAGCAGCTCACAGCAACGCTACGTAAGGCTTTAGAACAAAGCTTTCTTTTTCTGAACAAGCAAGGGCTGCCCAAGCTGGATTTCGAAGGGTTCCTAACGTGTCTCCCTCCCACCTGCTTTTGCGTTCTTCACAGCCGTTTTGTTGGACACCGTAACGGAGATTTTGGATGTACCGGTGTCGGGTCTTCGGACAGGCGTGGCAGGTGGTGAATCTCGGCTTAAGCTGTTCGCAATCATACGGGTGGCAGCTGGAAGGCAAAAAGAGCCGGTGATGGAGAAGAACCAGGCACCGGCGACGTATTCCTAGCGCACTCCACAGAGCAGGGCTGCTGTGCTGCTCCCTAGCGCTTCACACCCCAGGGCCTTTGGCCAGGCGGGGAAGGAAAAAGTGACCCTGCGGCGCCAGCCCTGCCACGCTGAACAAGGGAGCGGCACAGAGGCCGACGCGGGGCTCGCCCTGGGGCTGGACGAGGGGCGTTACACACACCGCCTCCCCCCGTCAAAGCAACCAAGTCATTTTCTCATGCCATATTCAGAACTGCAGGAGCCTGTGCCCTGGGAAACGACAAGCTACTAAGCCAACAGGGCCTGCACAGCGGCCCCTGCGTGGGCTACAGAAAAGCAGCCCTCAGGCGAGGGTCACCCCCAGCCAGACAGCAAGCCGGGCTGAGCTCTGAAGACGGATACGGCTGCCAGGCCAAGCGCAGGAGCCCCAGAGGAGACTGGGAAGGGAGCCCTGGTGTCCGGAGAGTCGGACTGTCCTTACCGCTGCTGGCATTTCGTCGGAAGGACATCGACTCCGTAGCGGCCTTGCACATCTCCTGAGAGAGAACACGGCGAGACGGAATGGGACAATCCCCACCGGGGCTGCAGGGCAACGCTGCTCTCACCGGTAGCCTGAAGGCCACGTCCCAACGGGACAGGAATCGGGAGGGCTCCATTGAGGCCCAGCAACACCCGCGTGGCTCTGGGCCTCCCCTCGGCGCAGCGTGGACACCAGGCCGCTCTCCGAGCAGGGACTTGGCAAGGAATCAACTAACCTCTAACACTCCATTTTCCCCCATCACCTCCCAGGAGTTCAGCACGTCAGGGAGGGAGCGGCGCCTAGTGGTTGGGAAAGGGGGCGGAGTCACAACTCCTGGGTTCTAGTCCAAATGCTGCCAGTAATTTGCCACATGACTCCAGCCATGGGGCCTTCTGGCGCTGCCTCGCTTTACCCAGTCTACAAAACGGGGGCTTGTGCTCCCGTGGGACGGTGCAGGATAGTCGGCCAGCTTGCCTCTGGGGGTCTGGAGATGGCTGGGAGCTTCAAAGAGGCAGTGCTACGGGAACAAGTCAGAACAGTAGCAAGGATCTCATGGGCTGCTACAGCTTTGAAATTCATGGTTACTAAGGCCAGAGAGCTGGCCTCCTTCACAACAGGCCAGAGACTTCCCACCTGTGTGTCCTGCGGCCGCTGCACTGGAACCCACCCAGCCTCATGTGGAAGTCTCCTAATTGAAGTCTCCACTGAAACAGCTTTCCAAAGGCCATTACCCTGCCTTTCAAACAGGGGCCTGACTCCTGGGGGAAACCCAGCGGCACGCCCTGATGGCCGGAGTCCCTGCCGCTGAGAAGCTCTGATTGAGAGGGGTACACTCCGTGGTGCCAGGGCACGGCGCCGGGCTCAGGTTACCCGCGTAGGGCAAGGCGGCCAGGGCAACCCAAGCCGCTCCCAGACACTACCTGTCTGTAAACGACTTTGGCATGCTTGAGGATAGCGATGATGTCTCCCACCACCGTGATGCCCAGCTCGTTCATGATCTCCTTGCTCAGGTCCAGCAGCATGTTCTTCTGGATTCTGTACAGAACAGAGCAGGCAGGGTCTCAACGCATGCACAACCCCCATGCCAGAGAACTAAAATCAAGCCGCTCCCAGACACTACCTGTCTGTAAACGACTTTGGCATGCTTGAGGATAGCGATGATGTCTCCCACCACCGTGATGCCCAGCTCGTTCATGATCTCCTTGCTCAGGTCCAGCAGCATGTTCTTCTGGATTCTGTACAGAACAGAGCAGGCAGGGTCTCAACGCATGCACAACCCCCATGCCAGAGAACTAAAATACAAGAAGATCCGATCCCAGCTCTGCGACTGGGGCAGCAGCTGGAGACAGAACGCGGCTCAGGCTTCCCACTGCCGGATGTAAGAGACTCAAGTATCCAATTAGTCGTTAGTGCAACTACTGAAGCAGACTGGAATTTGGCCAGGATGCCAGGGCTATTACCCTTGCTCTCTTCTGCAGAACAGATCATGGGATCTTCATGAGCACAAGTGCTAGGAAGCTCAGGGGCAGCCCCTCTGGCGGAAGTCTCAGGCGTCACCCTTCTGGGGGACCAAGGAGTGCTGAAAGGCTGGAGAGGAGAGCTGGCCCCTTTCTCTCGGCAACGTGAGCTGCCACCCTAACCGGCGCCACAGGGTGAGGGGCCCGGGACTCCGCCCAGAATGACAGGGACTAGAACAGCTGGGAGCAAGATTCCAAGGCCAGCAAAGACCAGTGTGACCATCCAGTCTGACTTCCTGCCTAGCCCAGGCCTGAGTCTTGTCCCGCACTAATTCCTATTTGAACGAATAAAGCTAATAGAAAAACACCCCGTCTTGATTTAAAAACTGCCAGTGATGAAGAATCCACCACACAACCCTTGACAGGTCGTTCCAATGGTTAATTGTCCTCCAAGAACTAATTACTCAACAGAGCCTTTAAGAGGGATGTTGACACTTCAGTGGTTACGTGTTTATATGTGAGGGGGAGAGAAGGCAGCTCTGCAGGGAGCCAGCACTTGCAGGGAGCCGGCTTAAAAGCCAGCTCCGCACGCCCACCCGCTCCCACCTGTCCCTGTGTAACCATTTACACCAGGGGTGAGGATCCTGGGGGCCAGATGCATCCCCTGACTTGCCTGAATCCGGCCTCCGAGCTCCCTCCCAGCATTGGGGAGCCCACACTGGTGCTCCAGCCCCCCTGCTACCTCATCATGGGGCTGGAACACACAAAATCTACTAGCCCCCCACCCCCAGCTCTGGAGTGTGAGGGGAACGTGGGAAGAGTCTTTCTCCATCTCAGTCAGGAGCCACATCAGCGAGGGTTTGTTTTTGTTTTCTTGCTTCTCACTTGTGGGCGGCCCCCGACCCAAAAAAGGTTCCTCACCCCGATTCACACGTTTATACGATCACGTCCCTAATTTTTAGGAGCAAACTTGTCCCCTACAACCAGAAAGGAACTCGGACCTCGAGAGAATTAACACTGAATACGCAGAGGGCTATTTGCACCTGAAAGTTATTTAAAGGCATTTCTTCTCCCCAGCCTCTCTGTAAAGAGGAGAACTGAGGCAGGGAGGCGGGCACCCCCTGGCTCCCTTAGCGTATTATAACGGAGTAATAAGCCTGCTGGTGACACTGATGCGTTTCGAGCGCCGCATGGGGGTGTCCACTATTTCTTTTGAAGCAACAGAAACCTGTTGCCTGTTTCTCTGTAGCCTCACCTGTTATCCACAAACATAACCGCATAGTTGACAGCAGGGCCTGGCGGAATCCCAGCTTCCTTAAAAAACTGAATCCATTCCGAGGTTGCTGAAAGATGCAAGACACAAAGCAGCTCCTAAGTCATGTGAATGAATTAACACAGTCTGTTCTGATGCCGGCTCCTGGAGCAATCGCCCTGCTAGCCCAATACATGCAGTAGCAGTGACCGCTGCTAGAGACACAGGCAGAGAGGGACCGACACACACAAAACAGAGAAGTCACAAATCCCCGTAACACTATATAGCCTGGAGATCATGAAAACACTAATTATGGTCACGTGCAGGGCTTGACAAACGGCGGAGAAAGCTGCTCGCCAGCCCTGCACTGCGCATGCGTGCGCCGCCGGTAAACGGGGTGCGCAGCTGAAATCTACTCGCCACGGGCAAGTAGATTCTATAGTTTGTCGAGCCCTGGTCACGCGGACCAACATGGTCCAATCATTGCCTGGTTCTCCCCATCTGTTGTCTAGACTGACCCACTGTGAACTCTTCGGGGCACACACCATGTCTGTTCCGCCTGCACCGGGCATAACACAAAGGAGCCCTAGTCATGAACAAAGGCAGCTGCACTTTGCTGTGCTGCAGGTCTGTTAGGCACAAACCTTTGGGTCACTGGTGCCACTTGGGAGAGCCAAGTGATGCCCAGACAGCAGCCGGGTAAATCCGTACCAATCAAGCACCTTTTTTCACAGAGCTGTTGGGTGGGGTTTTTTGGGGGAGGGTGGGGAGGAGAGGAGATCAGTAGTTGTTTAAATCTTTAGCAAACCACAAACCATCAGACTGTTACTGAAAAGCATCAGTGCAGCTTCCTCATCCATCAAATTCGTAGTCATTTGGAAACCGCGAGGAGAGGGAAATCCAAATCAATTCAGCATAATATCATCAGCTACCAAGTTCAATCTCAAAGCATGGAATACAGTCTAGGATCACACTTCCTGAAGTAACACGGGAGCGAAACAACATGCAGGTCTGAAGTACAGGCTCTTCACGGTCTATTCTAGTGTTTCTCAGAGTGACAGAGGACTCTAAATCGCAGCTGGCCGTTATGCTGTGTGTGCTGAAAGGAGCCTAAGAATCACAAGCTTTCTCTGTGGAGTTCCTGGCCTTCGGAAGAGTCTGTCATGATCAGAGTGTCACTTCAGTATCTTTTCTGTGGTCCAGCGCACAGATCCCTGGCAGCACATGCCAAACATTCGCAGCTGCTGTCACACATCAGCCTAGCTGTTCATGCCCCAGCAGCTGAATTCCTCTTATATTGGACTATAGCACAAAAGTTACTGATCAGATCTGCTCTTCTGAGCTCCTTTACTCCAGGGCTATCCTCTTACTAAGTCTCAGTTTACACAAGAAGGGGGACAGGCAGGGCCTTAAAAAAAATCAAAATATCACCCTTTCGACTTACCCATTGTAACCGACACCATTGTGGCAAATCCAGACAGAGCCCCAGTGGGGCTGGGCTGTCACTTGTGTGAAAATCCTGCAATGAGGCAACATATTATTGAGGCAACTGAGCTTCACAAATGACGCAGGGAGAATTCCAGCGCCGGCGTTCATGGAACAAGAATAGCCCATTACCCACTCCCAGCCCAGGCGTTAAAACCACAACCTCCCCACTCTGGTTCTACCATGGCGGCTCTTAGACGCAAAAGGATTTTTGATTAGACCAAGTTAGGCTCCAGTCCTTTGCCCAGGGCTACAAATATTTCAGTGCTTCTTAAAGAGACAAGGGCAGAGGCACAGGGCAAGGAGATGGTGACAATGCCAGTCATTTCTGTATATCCGGTTACTTAAGGGCATGTTTGTGATAAGGATCTGGTTGCTAAGAGTTCCTTCCCTTCTGTCATTCTCTCTCCAGGGTCTTATCCCGTACTTGCGGAAACAAATGAATGTCTACCTAGGATGGGGAGAGACCAAGGCTTGGCTGGGACTGAGGAACTATTTACCTATTAGAGACGAGGATGGGAATTTTCATCCTTCAGGAAGCAACGGAAGGTTAAAAAATGGCTGGACTGAATGAATGAATGAACTGGAAGCCGCTCACAGAGCTTTCCGAGGGCTAGAATCGTAGGACTGGATGGGACCTGGAAACCTCACCTAGTTCAGTCCTCTGCCCTCAAGGCAAGGTTAAAAAATGGCTGGACTGAATGAATGAATGAACTGGAAGCCGCTCACAGAGCTTTCCGAGGGCTAGAATCGTAGGACTGGATGGGACCTGGAAACCTCACCTAGTTCAGTCCTCTGCCCTC